TTGTGTCATGAGTTAAATCGAAAGTGGTCATAGCGGAATATATTCATCATATTGCAGGAAGGGAAATCTATTAAAATACAGATTTGTTTTTGGATTTTTTTTATGGAAGACTATCACCTAGTTTAATTCTACTCATTGAATAGTATTCTCAGCTGCTCTTTTGTTTTATAATTGTGTAAATACTAGCTATTGTTAGCACTACTTTCTTGTCAATATATAGTATCTTTGGTGTGTGTGGAAAGAGAGGGAGAGAGAGAGATGCTCCTTTTAGACTGCAAGCTTATTTGGGCAAGCTCTGCTACTTTTTAAATTCACTTAGTCTTGCCATTTAAACATGTATCATTTCACTAGCATAGACTTTGGCCGAATGTATTAATACTAAATAAATAATAATTACTTATTTGTAATGTAGATATCTCTGTGTGAGATTCATTACCACCTAATGACCATGTACATGTGAACCCTTAATCATGAGGGGCAGTCAAATCTATAGAACTACTAGTTATCCCAGGTTTTATTTTAAACTTTTTTTTTTCGTCTCTAGGTTGGGTTTTTGGAGAGCGCTTACATGACCAGGAGAAAGGCTGGTTCCCCAGTAGTGTGGCAGAAGATATATTGAACCGAGATGTCAGGACTCAGAACTTGAAGCAATGTTTCCGGGTCCACAAACCTGATGAAGGGAGCCAGGAGAAGGACAGACGGAAGATGGGAAGCCGAACGCGGCAGTGACCCTTACAGAGATTTTGGGCAGCATCAACAGGGGAGGGCAGGGCAAATGAGCAGTGTGTCTGTGACGCGATGCAAATATTCTCTATAAATATATGTATATTATCTAAACATTGGAAAGACCAGCATTGGATTTATGGTGAAAAAAGCTATATTGTTAACATGAAAAAGTGGTGTTGCAGAGCACTTTACCTTTTTTGTCTGACGAACAGTTGGGTCTGCAAAGAACATAGGAAGCTAAAAGGAAATCTTTAACTACTCCCACGATTTGTTGGATATGTTCAGTATTGCTCTAAACATTGGGGTGACCCAGAAACCCGAAGATCTCCAGCTTTTGATGTAGTCACATGATACGTACAAAAAAAAATGTATAATGTATATTAAATCATCACCGCTGACCTTCGTCTGAAGGACATTTCATTACAAGGATTTACGTGAACATAAAAAGAAGGCCTGTCTGATAATTATCATGTTGTGGCATGTGAAGCACACTACTGCCTTTGTGGCTATGCCAGTTACCTTGTGATTAAACCTAGGGTTTGGGGTTTAACAAGTATAATTGAATTTGATCGGTATTAGCATCAAAAACATAATATTTCTTTCAATGCAAGTCTATGGTTGCGTAATTTTAAGCATTCATCAAGGTCGGTTCACAGAGAATTTTCAGAGTGTAATAACAAATATAGTACGGATTGACGTGACAACCTTTTCTGATCTCCCAGATTAATTTGTGAATGTAATGCAAGGGGATAGAATGGAGTTTACCTATATTCAAGGTCTGGAGCAACATTAAGGTGAATGGGGTCCTTAAGACAACTCAAAGGGCTACTCCAATGCTACATGACTATAACTCTAAAATATTTTCCCTCACTGATCCACTGCCCACTTAGGCTCAGCCTATAGTCTTTGGAGGGTACAGGAAAAATATGCCAAATCACCTACAATGGATTGAGATGTTGCATGGTGCATTCAATATTACTACAAGCAGCTTTATTATCATGCCTATACAGGCTCACTGCTCAATTCTCTGCCATTTAGGCTTTAAATCATTATTGTTTCTTTTTATGCAGCCATAGATACATCTTCCTGGCAGTGACTCATACACTTACATGAAAAATTTTTTAATTTTCATTCAGATGTGTCAACACAGTATTTTTACTTTAGACGTTTTACTATCCTGCTCCAGGTTATTAACAGAGCTGGAGATACAAAATTGTAGATTATGCTAACATAATGTACCTATAATCTTAATTTTAGTAATGACAGGAGGTGAATATTTGCATAAACCTTCTTTACTTTAAACTCCAGCAGCACAGATCAATCAAAAACATAAATCGGGACCCCCCTGAGGGGAATTGGCCGCATCCACGGGAGCCTTTGGACCTGGTCGGTTGTGTGAGGGTTGTCAGTAAGTGGAACTTGGGTAGAACGAGGTTGAGAGAGGGTTGGGACTGGGTCCAGAAGACCACAATCGGCTGGTGACATGGCCTCGCTGCCGACCAGCCCTTCCAAAAACACCACGGGGTGATGGGGCCCGAAAGACCTGCCGTAGCAATGTCTGGGCCTTGTTGAGTGTCACGAACACGTGTTTCTTTAATTCTGCGCTGAATGTGTCGCCAAACAAGAGGCCGTTGGCCGAAGCCCCCAATTCCTTGGTGGCCATGTTCATTAGCTTGGCATCTATCCGTGCCTTGAGGCAACGCCATGTCAGCGAAGTATATGATCTTCACTAAAGGTCCCAGGATTTCGAGCAGTTTGTCCTGTGTCGCCTTCAGCCCTCTTTCGGCCCCTTTCCTGGGGTCCCGTCCGGGACATGAAAATAACCACCATTTTGTTGAATTCCAGTGTCACTGCCATCTTATCAGGCAGGATGGGCTGTGGGCATTCCGCCAGTAGTCTCGCCCTGACCTCTTTGTCTAGAGGTTTACACATCCAGAAATGCATGAATTGTGCTAGGTGGTTTGGTAGGGTCCAGTCTGAGGACTTTGGATGCCTAATGGTGCGAGGGTCAAACAAAGGACAACGTTGGGTGTCCAGAAACAGGCCGTCTGCCTCCTGGGAGGAGAGGTCATGTGAAATCCCCTGTGGTGAGGAGTCACCTGCAAAAGACTCTTTCACATATTTGGAGTCATGGGGAGGCAAGTCTTGCCAGTTGTCCCCATCCTCAGATGCGTAATCATCCGCTTTCCACTCATCTAGAATGTCTAGTGTATGCCGGTAGTAGATAGTGGCTAATATGTCAGGGAGTGACACCCTGAATTAGTGGGATGCACTGAAAGCCCCAAGTAGTGCAGGGATTAACCCTGTGTGCCCCTTCTGGGGAGGTACCAAATCAGCGGAACTAGTCTGTTCACAGTAAAGGTTGAGGTACCTTAATAATGCATTGGTCCCTTGGTAATAAAGGCTTACCCTGATAGTACTGCAGGGTCTATCCCTGGATATAATAGATTAGGTGCAGATTGCAATATTAGGTGAAACCTATGCATTAATTTCAATGTGCATAAGCATCTATGCTGAGAGGTAGGATAGTATAATAGAGTCATCCAAGTCCTTACTTGTGGTATGATAGGTTAAGTCCTGGCTGTGAGAAAAGGGGTCCCTGAAGGCAATGCAGGAGAGTATACAGGCAGGTCAGGTAAGTATTTGCTGTAGCGCCGTCCGACCACCTGAAATGAGATGGGGAAATGTCTGTCATGAGTATCGTGGGCCCCGAAATCCAAAACGCCCGCCGCACGCAAGGACCCGCCGGGAACCACTCCTGCGGTCCGTGCGAGCGGCAAAATATGATACACCCAATATCTCTGGCACCCAGCCACCCGCACGCCACACAGTAGAAGCCTGCCAGATAAAAATAGCGTCAGCAAAAGAACGAGAACTGGCAGTGGGCAGAGTGCCTGGCTGCCCAGAAAGTCAGGCAGGGCAGAGATGATAGTAGAGACAGAGTTTAGCAGGAGTAGGGATAGTGGGAAAGACCATGAAACACCTTAGGTAACAGTAACAGTGGATTAGACAGATAAGGCAGTTTGATTCAATGTAAGCAATAATATAAGAGAATCAATACTCTGACCTGTACTCTGGCAGGAGCAGCAAAGAAAGAGGGAGTGGAAAGCACCACAGAGCTATATGTAGTAATGACTCTTGTTTCTGATTGGTTTACATTTTTTTATCTGTGTGTCACTTTAAATTCACCTCGAATTCTCACTGTAGTAAATAACTCTGCAGATCTCTCTTTACAGGAAATGTATAGGGAAACTGTGTAGATTATGTGCAGGGGAAGTGTGGTTAGAGCTGCATAAACAACGAGTTTTATGCCAACAAGAGGTGAAACGGTAAAAATCCAGGAAAACGATACACAAAACAATCAACTTCTGTTAACATTTTACAATACCATGACAAAAAGGATGGCTATTTAAATCACATGGTTGTTTAATTTCAAGTAGATTCCTCACTTGAACCATGTGATAACATATACACCTACGAGAATACAAAATGTTTAAAAAGATTCCTGTAAAATAGAATTTAATGCAAACCCATCTGACTCTAAACGCATGTACCAGGTACATTTATGAATGAATAATACCACAAATAAAATAACCAATAGCAGGCCACATCTTGTTATAGTTGTTTATAAGAAAGGACTGGCTGTACTCAAATTAGCGTGTTGCAACAAACTTGTCAGTGGATTCCTCACTTAAACACAGTGACCCATTTCTGAACTGTTTAAACATTAAAAATGTTAAAACATTGATGAAAACAGATCACGTCTTAGCATAAGGATTAACTATATGGTTTTAGGCTTAAGAGATCACCCCAAAGTTAAAAAATGTCTATACTTATGTTTAAAGCTAGAATATTCTATCTTTGGCCTCCTCTTCCTTGAGTCACGATGATGAGCATGTCACCTACCTAATCAGTTATATTACTGCCATGCAAGGTGATGGGAGGACACCAGTCATTACAATTGCCAAGAGTCATTACAATTGTTAAAGGGTGATGCTAAGAAGCCATTTAGAATAATTCTGATGGTTACAGAAAGATTGTATGGGCCAAGACCCGTGTGCTGCAAGAACCAAGAAAAGGCTAACTAACTCAAAAGTCTTCTCTGTGAAAAGAAGGGGCAGTAGTAAAGCAAAACACATTCATTTTATGGATTATATTCATAATTCATGTAGTATTTTCATAGGCTTACCTGTTGGGGACAGAGTCCACTTTATCTGGATGCATAAATAGGGTATATGTGTTCACTTGGCTAATTTTGATGTAAAGATTAGGAATATGACTCTATAGCTGGGGCATTGTGTTCATTCCTGGCAAAACTGTTATATCCACAGCAATAGTGTATGGGATCAGACAAGAGTGAGGATAGGATGTCTATTGCACAGTAGTGCTATGCACTATGGGACAGGTCCAGTGGCCTCACCTAGGGGAGATGATATACGTGCTGATAGAAGCTCTTCTTTAGTTTTATCATTGTGGTACATTAAATGCAGCTTTTTCATCAACTACCTCTGCCACAGTTAGTTGTATTATATCATGTTTGTATGTTGTTCCTGCGGGTTTTGTTAAACTAACTGGGACATTTGGAATGCATTGTGCTACCTAAGTTAAAGCCTTTATATAATGTTGCCAAATTGCTATCATGCAAAGTTCTATGAGAACCACCTTTATTTAAGGCACATCCTTAGCACACAATCCCAAACATATTGCCACACAAGTCATACATAGCATCTGATCTGTTTCTAGATGGACCTACTTTGGTTCTCTGCTGGAGATAAACCTTTATTAGTATATACCTGCAAACAATTTTCTGTGTGTATTAATGCAAGGGAACAGACCAAAAAATACAGGTAAAAAAGAGATGCACTCAGTGTTGTGTTGCTGTGGTGAAACATTGCCTGAGCACGTTGTGGAACAGTCTGTGACTGGTGGTTTCATGCACTCTGGTCAACACCAGGCAATTCCTGGCATAATGAATCTTTAACATGGATTCATGCATCTCCTGTTGTAGTAATAGTGATAAGACAGAGGCTTTTTCTCTACTGAGTTACTGAGTTCCTTCCACAGAGCTCCCAGCAATGCCAGTGCCATGGACAAAGTTAAAACAAGCACAATGAAGTATCTACTTTTTCTATCCCTCTTTAATTCCCTTTCTAACTTACCCCCTTACTTCGATTATAATTCGACTTAATATATAGGAGAAGGAATTATCTTCATTAAGAAAACCCGAAGTTAAGAGAGAGCGTTATGACCCCTTTCAATCATCGTTCATATCCCACACTACCATACATCCATACCTTACTACTTAACCATCTATCTGTCTGTCTGGAACTTTCTTATATGGAGGATTTTGATCTTTGCTCCTCCTTATTCCATTAAATTCTAAGGAATCATCAGCTAAGCCAAATTTGTTATATTTATTCAAGACACTCTCCCATCAGGGATCTTTTCGATATACTCCCACATGGAGTCCATATTTCATAAAATAGAGATAATTTACCGTTCAAATTGTAAAATTGTTTTTCCATTCTACCCTGAAGTGAGATCTGACTAATAAGTTTAATCCATGCAGGTGAGTCAGATTTTAGCCAGTCTCTTGCCATACATATTTTGATTGCCAGCAAAATTGTTATAACTAAATATTTATTTGGTTTACTTATTGCGGGGAGATCTAAGTGAAAAAGCCATGTTTGTGGTTCCAACTTAATGTTTCGCCACAATAATTTAGATAATACGCTTTCTGTCAATGATTTTACTTGTTGAATTTTTTCACAATTCCACCAAATATGCATCAATGTACCTTGTGTATGCGAACATCTCCAACATCCCCCTTTGTTTAGTGTGTTACATTTTCTTCTATGCCAAGGGACCATATACAAACGGTTTATTAACTTAAAGAATACCTCCTGCAAGTTTATGGAATGTACACTTTTCCTAACCATTACCCAGGTTTCTATCCATTTTTCCAGGTTGTTGCAAACCCCCAGATCTCTCTCCCATTTACTTGTAGATGACAACTTTAAAGATTGCTGTTTTTTTTAAATTATTTTTTTTTATTTTTGAAATTATTTTGGAGCTAGGAGCTTTTGCTATAAACTCATCCAGTTTCGTTGGTGGTGGAACCGAAATGGTTTTTAAGAAGTTTTTCAATCTTAGATAAATAAAAATATCTTGATTAGCGAAATCTCCTTCCGAACACAAATGTGCCACTATAGTAACTCCTTTACTACTCCAACTTGATCAATCTAGATCTTCACTGTACTGGTTAAGGACAATTATCGGTGTATCCTGAGTAATATATTCTTAAATACCCATCTTTGCTCCCACCCTTGCCCCCATTTTAATTGCATCGATAATAATAAGGTTTGAGAACTTCAATCGTCTAGCCCCAGAAGGCTTAATCCAGTACAAGTGAGAAGGAATTAGTTTTCCCATCCGATATCTCTCACATTGAAACCAGCCAGTTGACATATTTTTCTCCAGGTAATATGCAATCAGGTGTGAAAACATAGTTACAGTATGAAGAACACAAAAATTCGGAAAGTCCAACCCAAATGGAGTGCTATCTTTTTTAATAACATTATATGCTCTCCGTGGTTTATTGTTTTCGCAGATGTAGGAGAGAATTTTTTGTTGTAATTTTCTCCAAGATAGTACCTTGTACTTGCAGTGGAATCATCCTAAACAAGACACCTGTGTGTCTTGTACCAATATAATTTTTTGTCGTACGTATCTCAAATAAAAATTGAATCTCTCTACTTATAAATAATGTACTATATCTTTAATATACCCCTCATTTTAATTATTGCTTCCTTAACCTCCATTATCTACAACTATCAATCCAAAGAGAGGGGGACAAAATAATAATAGTGAGGGGGACAAATATATGCCTTCTTCAAAATTCTATATTAATTTTAAAAAAAATGTTACTTCTTCTCCCATCTTCTTCCTGATCCTTTGATCTGCCTATATTTATAATGTTGCTTATTGTTCTTAATCTTTAATTATTTTTAAAAGATGATGTATTAGTCCCATTGTTTAAAAGTAGTGATGTCCCGAACGGTTCGCTGAACGGTTTGCGAACGGTTCGCCACGAATGGTTCGCCACGGACTCATCATTGAGTAAACTTTGACCCTGTACCTCACAGTCAGCAGACACATTCAAGCCAATCAGCAGCAGACCCTCCCTCCCAGACCCTCCCACCTCCTGGACAGCTCAATAAGAATGCAGCTTCACAATGAATGTAAAATGGATGCTGTCCAGGAGGTGGGAGGGTCTGGGAGGGAGGGTCTGCTGCTGATTGGCTGGAATGTGTCTGCTGACTGTGAGGTACAGGGTCAAAGTTTACTCAATGATGAGTCCGCGGCGAACCGTTCGCCAACCGTTCGGGGCATCACTATTTAAAAGTATTTTCCTTTATATTGGGTATCACGGTATAATTCCCAGATTTTTGTGCAAATGTTGAAGGGAGAAAAAAAAAACGAAAAATTTTTTTTTTTATTAACTTCTTCTCCTGTCTTCTTCCTGTTCTTCCTGATTCTTAGGTCTCCCTTATTTTACTTATAGAGTTGCTTGTAGTGCTTATTTTTTAGGTACTTTAAAGAGTTGATGTAATTGTCCCTTTATTTGAAAGTATTTTCCTTAGTGTACGGTATTACGGTATAATTCCCCAATTTTTATATAAAATGGAGAAGGGAAAAAGGAAAAAATATATATATACGGTAGTTCCTTCCAATATAGTTACATAGTTACATAGCTGAAAAGAGACATGTGTCCATCAAGTTCAGCCTTCCTCACATATGTTTTTGCTGTTGATCCAAAAGAAGGCAAAAAAACTAGTCTGAAGTGCTTCCAATATATAGGTTCAACAAATGTTCTCCACTTTAGACATATTCTATTTAATCTTCCATGAAGCCTAGTTGCTTCAGCCTAATTTTAAATCTTTCAGGGTCATCAAAAGTGAATGTTTGGTTATCCATTCTGAACTTAATTTTTGTCGGATAAAGCCATCTATAAATAACATTTCTATCTCTCAGGCATTGGGTGCATTCTCTAAATTTCTTCCTTTCCTGCCTAGTGGCCAGTGAGAGGTCTGCAAAGAAGTTGATGTTATTATATAGTTCCGGGATCGTTTTTTTCCTGAATTCTTTGAGAAATTATTCTTTCAAATAAGTGTTGTTAAAACAAACAATAATATCTCGTGGCTCGTCCGCAAAAACAGCGTCTTTAGGCTTAGGAATTCTGTGTAATCTTTCGAATGGAAAATGCCCCATTTTTCCTTCCTCTTTAACACTTGAGATCTTTTTCTTGCTAAAATCTTCCAGTTGATCATTTTTTATCTCGTCTGGGACCCCCTTAAATTCCATCTTCTCGACCTATTCTCCAGGTCTACTAGTTCTAATTCAGTTTTATGCAGGGTTTCCGTTATACTTTGATTTTCTTTTTGAAGAGCTTCACAATCTTTTCTCAAAAGTTTAATTTCTTCCATTTGGATTACAAGGTTTGAAGATATTTGCGTGACCTGTTGCTTTAAATCATTAACATTTGATTTCAAATCTGATTTTATTTTCTCCCAGAGTTCATCCAATGAATTAGATAGCATTATCTGGTTCACTGGAACATTTATTTCCTTTGAGAATTCATTTCCCTCTTCAGAGATAGACTTCTCCTTCAGTAAGTTCTGGATTTGTAGGGATTTCCTACCATTACCCATTCATTTTAGGGAGTAAAAAACACTTTTATCTGTTGAGGCTTTTCTTTATCTTTTTGGGGGGCCATGTTTCTTTAAATTTTTCGGCTCAGCTTGCAAATGCTTGCTATTGTTAATTTAGCTGGGAGAAAGCCCTCTCTATCTTTCCCCCTTTTTTTCCTTTATATTATTATCTTTCTTCCTTCTCCTCCCTTCTCTTCCTTTCTTTCCCTCTTCCTTCTCCTTTGCTTCCTCCTTCTTTTCCTTTTTCTTTTCTCTTTCCTCGTTCTTTCCTTATCCTCCCTCTCCTCTCAGACTCTCTCCCCCTCTACTTGTCCTCGTCCTTCCTTGTCCTTTATCTTATTCCTCTCACTGGAATAGAGGCTGGAATAGGGGGCTTTACACCAGACAGTGTTTCTGTTTACAGCTAGGATCACTGGGTCAATACCTCACACCAATACGTCCCTGATTTACACCCCCGGAGTAACTGAAGACTCCTCTTGATGTTAAAATGTTAAACTTTTCCATGTCTTCCTTTCTCGAGACATTTTACCAGCATAAATCTACCAGCCCCCTAACTCCTACTTCAGTACTCCAGTTACATTTGGGGCTTGCCTCCTCCACTTCCTCGGCACCGTTTCCTCGGCTCCCTCTTGCTTCAACCACCACCTTCAGAGCTGCTTCCAATCCTCCGATCCTTCCTTCCTTCCTGCTCAGTATGACATCCACCGCTCGCTACCTCTCTCCTTCCCCGACATGCCTCCTGCACGTTCGCTCACGTCATCACGTTTGTCTATTACTGTGAGTTTTTTTTAAGTATCTATTTTTATGATTCCTTGCAGACAGTGTCTGGATTTGTTCCTGGCATGCATACATGTCCTTAGAAAGTGGGCTACCCATGCAGAGTTCTATTCTATGGCTGCAGGGAAGCTGATTCTTGTCTGTTAGTTGTCTCCTGCTCACATGATTTTGTTTGGGTGTCCCAAGTTCCTGTGGGACTCTCTGCTTCCAATAATAAAGACAAAGACATGCTTCGGGGTCCAGTAAAGTGGACATTTCCAACAAGGTATTTACAAGGACCTTGTTTGGGTAAACCGCTGCGGAACTGATCTCATTACATGGAACACCTCTTTAGGGTTGCAACATCTCAACCAAACCAGACCATGAGGATTTTGATATCATTTCTGATAGAAAATGGTAAAGGATATGTAGTTATATTCTAATTCCTAAAGATTATTGTTCTCACTTGATCTTCACACTGGCAGCTCTGCTGAAGTCATTGCATGTTTGATGAGAGCTCTTACAGATTGGAGATTAGCATAGATGTCATGCACATGTAATGGGCCTTGCTTCCCCCCTCTCCCTGCCCAGTACGGTGGTCCCTTTGATCTAGTCTGATGCACTAATGTTTGTACATCAGACAAGTAGAAGTGTTAAAATGGACAGATTCGACCTACCCCTATGGGATTAGGAAGAGAGTTTAGTCATTTACCAACCAGTTTTAATTGTCAGGATACGTCATAGAGTTATTTACTAAAGTGAGAGTTGTCGGAAATTCGAATTGAATTTTAAAAATGTAATTTCCAAAATAGCCTACTGAAAGCATTGCTAACTTGAAGAACTTTCCCAATTTGATTATTTTGACCTTAAATTTGAAATTCACACTTTCGTGAATAACCCTCTTAGACTTACATCAGGCAAGAACATATTCTCCAAACCAGAGCTGCACAGATCCCTGCTAAGGAAACCTTAATCAACTCAAAGAAAGGTTAGCCATACTCATGGTGACTGGGTTAGAGCATTTTTATAAATCATAGTTATATGTACAGAATTAGCTTAGGGGGCAATCGATTAGGTGCAGTGTATAATAAAATGTCAAATAAAATGTGGCTGTTCTGCTATTCTTTTAGCAACACTAAAGTCGTGTTCGACATGTAGAAAATAATTATAAGATGGTTTATCACGGCCAGGTTTCTAGACAGAAATCCAAAGTCCTTGCCAATCATGACTGGATTTCCCAGTTTAGTGCATTAGCCTCTGAATTTAGGCATTTGGATGATTGAAAGTGGGTAGACAGGAGTATGTAACTGAGTAGTTTTATGTGAGTCTATAGGAATATTAGACATGGTATGTGATTTAGATGATTGAACTAAACTAGACTAGACTGGATTGGGGTATGTGATTGCATGGGTGAAAGTAGCATTTACTTGGACTAGGAGTGTTAATGGGAGGGCATGGGAATGGGTGTAAATATTTGACCAGGTGGGAAGCCGGATGGTGTAGGTGTCATGGTATGTGATTGGGTGCGTGAATGTGTTATGGTGGGATGTTGTGCATGCCTGTGAGGTCAGATGAAATTCATGACAGGGTGGGTAGAAGAATTTGTTTGGGTCAGTGTGGCTGGGTGAGTGATTGAATGGCTATGTGCATGGGTGTTGGCAAGGAAAGTGTTAACAAAAAGTGAAGATGGGGTGAGGTGGGGGCTACATGACATGGTGGGTGTTAAGGTATAAGGGGTGTATGGGACAGTGAAATGGGGGGCTATTCGAAAGGCTGGGTGTTAGTGGAATGTGCAGATGTGGGGACATAGCATAGCAGTGGAAAGTTGGCAATGGAGAGTAGGGTGGTGAGGGAGTGACAAAACCAATGTATTAATCTCAAAGTGCCAACACTGCAAAACAAAGGCAAGACTCTGTGTGATATATGGTGAGTGTTAATTTAAATTTAACTTCATTACTAAAATAAAATAGAAAAAAATTGCTTACCTGTTTTGCAGGGTGTGGGGCTATCTTTTCTGTTGATCCATTGTGGGTTAATAATAAATAGTAGTGGGGGATTAATGATTGTAGCAGAGACTTCGGACAATATAACTTATGCAGCAAAGGACATTGAGCTGTCTGCAAAACTGTGTGTTTTAAAATGCTTTTGGTACTTTGCTGCTATATATATCTTCAGAGTATGAAGCATTCGTTTGATTGTCCCCATAAAACTGTATTGACCCACTGCATTCATCATACGAACTAAATATACCGAACATCAGACCACCCTGATACAAAGTGTGGCTTCAATCAACCTCCAAATTCGTTTTATTACCTCTTAAGTGGAAATTTACAAACGCTCGATTAAGTCCCTGGGTGGCCGCCTTTTCGGGAGTTTAACACGTGGCGGCGGCCATCTTAATCTCCTAAACAGCGGTATTTTGCCGTTAAGTGTCTGGAACTAAAATTCGGACACTTGACTAAGCAAACACCGCTGAGACCTCCAGACTTCCATATCTTTGGACTGGAACTTCCGAACGAGCTGCCGTTCGGTAGAAAGACTCATACTAACATGGGGATTCACACGAATGCCAGCAAAGCCATGGATGGCAAGCCTTTTGGGACTTTTATTTCACGAACAGAGACCGACCGCAAGGCCAAAACTTATGGAACTATTTTCGGATACTGCTGCCTGTGCGGTCGGTCAAAACTTTATTTGCCCATAACTCCCGAACCCCTGGTCCGATCTGGGTGATTTTTGAATATGTTATTCACCCAAATCAGGGCTATCAGGGGTGTATCCTATGTATTTGGGGTACATCTAGAACTTCGGGAAAAATATGTACATTTTAATTCTGTTAACAGATAAGCTGATGGGAGGAGATGTGTGGGTTGTACCTTGTACTTTATTGGTTAATGTACTAATTATTGTGGGTGGCTCCCTTGCACGGGAGCATTGCAAAAAAGCAGGGGTTGCGTGATTAAAAGTTAGTTAAGTTCTGCTCCTGATACTGTGTGTCATCCAGTTATTGGGAAAGGTGATGGGATATTCTTGGAATATATTGCTGATTGTGCCTGCTACTCTATTGGATTTACTACTTGTTCCTGAGCCATTCTAGAATACCAGCGGAAATAGGCTGTGGGAGACCAGCTCTCCGCTACAATGATTTCCGATGCAGTGATCATGATGATGCATTGCCAGGAGAGCCTTGACATCCGCCAGCTGACTACTATCAGCAAATGTGCCTTGTAGAGCATTATAGGACTTAGTACAGGAGAGTTAACGGAAGTTCCTGAGGAACTTCCAGCTCTGAGGACATGGAAGTTGAGTGGTGCCCAGTGGACCTAAATAAAGCTGTAGTGGTTATGGTGTTTGTAGTGTTCCATTAATGACAAATCCTTGGTGGTCCAGTAGCCTTACTAAAGAATTCCTGGTGGTCCAGTGGTGGAGTGCAGACCACCTGCTTATGGTGCGGCACTGAGGAAGTCAGAGCACAGGCTAGGAATACAGGCAGCTGTGCTCTGACTCCTTCACTGAGCATTAGAGCATCACAAGGGATCGATTAATATAGTCTGCACCAGACAGAATGGGAATAATATTTTATTTTTTTATTGCCAGTTCTGCACTATATTAAATAGAAAGTGTTCTTCTTTGGGGGAGCACCAGCAAGCTTACATCCTCTACTTGTTGCTGTTTGAACTCTTTTTCTAAATATATTTTTTTAAACCTTATGAAAGCTGCCAAGATCAAAAGTATTGATTAAAATCATATTTGACGCAGCCAATCAATTCAAGTAAGCTTTTAGGAAACAAATTAAAATGCGTGAGCGTTGACTTTATCACATGCTACAGGTTCCTTGTATGAGCATCGTGCCAACATTTATAAAGGCACATCTTGATTTGTAATAAAATATAAAATACTTACTCCAGGGTGGAGGGCCTACGTCCTTAAGGCCACATGTGACCTTGTGACTGAATCCAAATTTTACAGAACAAATCCTTTTATTTTTATGAATAATTTTTTTAAATATTTTTTTTTTTAAATGAACATATTTAAACATTAAATAATACAATAAGTTTCTACCTTTATTTAATTCTGTTGCCCACTGTTTTCACACCAAAAGAACAGGTTTACACAACATTTTGAAGCAGGCCATCAGTTTGCATAAAGCTTCTAAGACAATATTTTTTCCTTCTAAATGAAATTATCAATTGCTTCAAGTTTTCACTGTATGTTGGTGCCCTCTATTGGATATTTTGTGCTAGTCTATATGATCACTCTAGACTAGAGCCAAAACTACTTTATACAGGCAGGGCCTGATTAAGAGCCCAGTGGGCCTGGTGCTGACAATTACAACGCGCCTAATTACAGAATCGTATCGACCAAAAACAGTAAAACACTCCCAAGCATCATGTATCTGATGGAGATGGTGCTGGAGAGAAAGAAAACAGCAGCTATAAGAAAACACATACCCTAGGCTAATCTCTCTAATTTATGTTTTCATCTTTCAAGTAAATCCATAACCCCTAACAGCAGTGTCCAGTCAAGCAGGAAGTCAATGGGCACGGTAAAAGGGTGTGCCACTGACACAAATCACGTAACCTGCCAAAAGGGGCGAACATGCCCAAAAAGAGGACATGTCTGCTCAAAGAATTAGAAGGCCAGCCTGGTATGAATGCATGTCAGACTGCCTGCCAATCATGCAGCTGGCCAACTAAGGGCATACTATGCAGACAGCACCCTGAGCTTTGCATAAATGCATCTAATGATGCGCTCGCTCAACGCTTTCTAACAGCCATCTAAGGAGTGGCCAGTGACGTTATCACTAGGCTGTAATGTAAAGACTGCATTTTCTCTGAAAAGACAGTGTTTACAGCAAAAAGCCTGACGGTAATGATTCTACTCACCAGAACAAATTCAATAAGCTAGTGTTCTGGTGACTCTAGTGTTCCTTTAACTATATTCATTGTCAGCCAGTCCACACAAGTTTTGTTCCCATACATCCCTCTTAAGTTTCCATACTTAAGTAAGGGTATGTGAAAAGTAGTTAGGGTTGCCACCTTTCTTGGAAAAACATACCGGCCTTGCTAATTTGCATAATTAAATATGTATGGGTGACATCACATGATGTAAATCACAAGGAGTGACATAAGAGAAAATGCTGTAAAATCACCAAAAAACTACTTAGTTTGATTCTGCTGTATAGATGGTGTTGTGGAAATAAGGTCTGCACATATTTCCTAGATAGAGAAAAATGTCTATTTACTCATTCCACGATATATATCACGTATAAAGCTAAACACACATATTTTAATCAAGATGGCTGCTAGAAGCTTCTAATCCCTCCTTCCCCCCCCTCCTAACGTCGACTAACTACCTCGTGCATCAAGATGGCGCCGGGAAACCGTGGGAGACCCTCATGGCCCCGGTGACATCACCTACAGTAGGCAGAGCATTAGAGCAAGCACTTAACACCTAACCAATTATTGATGTATTATTCCATGTTATCTCTGACAATGCACATGATGTAATTTTGCTTTAAAAGGGACTTGCCGTCCCCTCTGAATAAACATTCCTCAAGTTATTCAACAACCTGGAACCTGTGTCTGGTGTGAATTACTTCAGGGAGCGTGCACGCACTGTTTCATTGATTTGGCCAGGGGCAGATAGACAAAGAAATAATCAATACTTTAATTGATTTTTCCCATTTCAATTGGCGCCCAACGTGGGGCCACCGGAGCGCCGGTTCGGAGGGCCGGAACCAGCGGACCGGAGCGGACCTCCGGAAAGTGGGACAAGCGGAGCCTGATCACCTCCATAATACAGCCGTTGCCTGTGTTATTCTCCTGTTTTGTGTCGGTCTGCCTCCGAGTCCACTTCCGGCTTCCAGAAGGCTACTAGAGACAGGTAACTAACTCATCCGGTGTGCCTTTTTAAGTGAACCTGTCGATTGTCTATCTGCCTCCTGTATTCATAATATGTGTATGTGTGCTCCTTTTTCTATATTTTATGTTAGCTTGACTGCCTAGCGGGCAGGGAACGCATTACAGCCGGTGGGGCTGGGATTTTATGTTAGCTTGACTGCCTAGCGGGCAGGGAACGCATTACAGCCGGTTGGGCTGGGATTTTATGTTAGCTTGACTGCCTAGCGGGCAGGGAACGCATTACAGCCGGTGGGGCTGGGATTTTATGTTAGCTTGACTGCCTAGCGGGCAGGGAACGCATTACAGCCGGTGGGGCTGGGATTATATGTTTGCTTGACTGCCTAGCGGGCAGGGGACGCATTACAGCTGGTGGGGCTGGGATTTTATGTTTGCTTGACTGCCTAGCGGGCAGGGGACGCATTACAGCCGGTGGGGCTGGGATTATATGTTTGCTTGACTGCCTAGCGGGCAGGGAACGCATTACAGCCGGTGGGGCTGGGATTTTATGTTAGCTTGACTGCCTAGCGGGCAGGGAACGCTTTACAGCCGGTGGGGCTGGGATTTTGTACAATTCTTGCATGATTTCATTAGTGCTTGTGTTATAATAGAGCTGGGGATTGTTACACGGTGGGTATTGGTACCAGTGGTGTTAACATGTACATGGCCATTTTACTTTCTATCATCCTGTGGTTTTTGTTTAATTGTTGTTACAGTGTGGGTACCCTCGGTGTGTGTGTGTGTGTTGTGTGGTTGGTTCTGGACTCCGGAGTTTATGCCCATTTATATGTTTGTGATTTTTGCAAATGTCTTCTCATTAGCGCAGCCACGTTCATATTTTCCTTTGTTCTTTATCTTTCCTGCGCCTGTTGCCCAGAGCTGTGTTAGTCACCCACGCTCATTCGCTCCCGTCCGTGACCACCACCCCGGGTGGGCGGATCCCTGTGACTAGTCTACGTTTGGGGAAGACGCACGGAGCTCAAGCTCTCGTGGCAGTCGAGCACTGTAGACATTCTTTTTCCTTTCCCCTCAGTACCTCCTCTATCCGTCTGTCTTCACCACGTGACACGCTTTGTCCATATAAGATGGGGCAGGAACATGCTAGACCTGCTAAGGGCTTGTTGGCTTGTGATATTGTAAAAGAAAGGGCAGGAGAGGATGCAATGTTGAAACTTAAAAAGATTGCCAAGGTGTGTGGCTTCCAAATGTTGCCTAGTGGAAGGTTACAGCCTGAGTTTTGGAGAAAATTGCTCACAGACAAGGAAGGTTTGTTGTTGGATAACGGACTTACTAAGGTTGCAGAGGCTTGGTATCGGGTAGCTAGAGGGTTGAAACGAGAGGGATGGGTCGAGGAAGAGTTGGAGTTTGAGGGACAGATTGTATATGTTTACCATAGGAATGCTAACAATGATGATGTTGTTTCTATTGTCCCACGGCCACCGCCCTATGATGGCGCCCAGAATGCAACTTCAACCTCCCGCCCTGCTTCCCCCGTCACAGCAAAGACCACACCCCCCGGAGGTGTTCCTTCAGCTCCCACTCCCCTTTGCCCCGTGCTCGGCGCGGATGGTGCTTACTATTTCCCGATGCCACTCCACTCGTTCCCACCCACTCCCATGCATCAGCCCTCCTGCAGCCCCGCCTCCTCCTCCTCCGTCATGCCCGTAGAAACCCCCCCATCTCCCTTGTTGTCTCCCCCTGTGCCTGTGCTTACTCCAGCTCCTCGTCAAGACTCTACCCCACCTGTTCCCGTTTTGCCTGTCGATGCTTCCTCCTCCTCCTTCTCCTTCTCCTCATCAACCCTTTCCCCATCGAGTACCCTAACCTCAGGAGTGATGCCCGTTCCCTCACCCTCCTTGTCCGATCCCTCGACCCTTGCCCGTTCCGCTGATCCGGACCCCTGTCTGCCCCCGGACCCTCCTTCTCCCGTACCTCCGGACCCAGACCTCCCCTCCCTCCTCGCTAGCCTCTCGAAGGTGCTTGCTCAGCCCGTTAACCCCAGCTCCCTAGCCCCTGCTCCCTTACATTCAGACGCCCCTTCTACCCTCCAGAACCCTCCCGCTAACCACGCAGTGTTACCTCCTCCCGAAGTCCCGGCCCCCTCTACCCCATTGTCCCCTCCTCCCTCGGCTGATTTGCCGTCCTTACTCTCTGCCCTCACTGCCCTGACCCAACCCCCCGTTACCGCCCCTTCTCCAGTGTTACCTCCTCCCGAAGTCCCGGCCCCATCTACCCCATTGTCCCCTCCTCCCTCGGCTGATTTGCCGTCCTTACTCTCTGCCCTCACTGCCCTGACCCAACCCCCCGTTACCGCCCCTTCTCCAGTGTTACCTCCTCCCGAAGTCCCGGCCCCCTATACCCCATTGTCCCCTCCTCCCTCGGTGGCTCCCGACCCGTCTGTGACCAATGACCTGCCTGGTTCAATCTCCGCCCTCTTCTCTGCTGTTACTTCCCTGGTTAATTCAGCGATTCCTACTCCACCTCCCACTGATTTGCCTCCTCCTCCTCCCCCTGAACCCCCGACCCCTCCCTCGTCTTCCGCTAATGTCCCCGAGCCTTCCGATCCAATCACTGCCCTTGCTCACGTCCTGAACACCCACCTCTCACGCCCCCCCCATCCGGCCCCCATGACAGCCCCCTCCACGGCATTGGTCCCTCATGCCCCTCCCGCC